GTACCGTGGAGGTCACGTGGAGGTCAAGATGATTTTTTTAAATGGGACACCCAGTATTCGGTAAGGTCATGTGAACGCTGCCCCCGAGCCCTTTCCAAAACCCTCAGCTCGGCCACTTCACCTCGGCCACTTCACCAACGGCGACTGTTTGCCGATCTCCCAACCAAGATGATGGAAGACCGTAGTTTTTCTAACAAACTTTCCCTAACCGGAGCGTTATCCCACGACTGAATAATTGGTCGCCCTAAATAGGGAGGTTTGTTTTGTGTACGCTTCCAATTGCGCTCACTCTCTTCTCTGACCATTCCGGCAAGGGCACTCCCACCCGTCCTCACTCTTCACAATTTTCCTTCCAATTAGATTCCTTCCGAGGTGAAGTAGCCGAGCTGAGGGCTTTGGAAAGGGCTCGGGGCCAGCGTTCACATGACCTTATCGAATACTGGGTGTCCCATTTAAAAAAATCATCTTGACCTTCACGTGACCTCCACGGTACCCGTGAAGGTCAATCAGCGTAGCCCATTCGGTAGATCTTATGAAGTCTTACAACTTTTATCCGAAACATTTTTCCATCATACCCACCGTTTGCGAAATAATCGGCCGTGTCCGAACTTTTGCCATGCAAACACTAATACTCGCCTCAAGGTCACCGCCAAGGGGTTGGAAGAACTCATGTCTAGGGTTTTGGAAAGGGCTCGGAACCAGCTTTCACATGATCTTACCAAATACCGGGAGTCCCATTTAAAAAAATCATCTTGACCTCCACGTGACCTCCACGGTATTCGTCAAGGTCAAACAAGGGTGACCAGTTAATAGATTGGTTGAAACCCTACAACTTTTGTATTTAACATTTTCCTCTAACTCCTATAGTTTCCGAGAAAATCGGCCGTGTCCAGACTTTTCGGACACCCTGTATACAGTAACGCAACTCTCTGTCGGCACCTTTGATATCGGTGTAGACGAAAATGAACTGTGCATGCGCGTCCTTGATATGTAACCAATTGCATTGATATTTTGTTTCATTTTCTCTTCCTCTTATAGTGTTATCTCTCTTTCTACTTTATTATACGTATAGTACACATTACATTTGAGATAAAAATAAAAAATAAAAAAAATATAGGTGTTACGTTCCGGCGGGTTACGGCCACACTGCCGTGAAGAATAGCGCTCGAACCCTAGCACGGGATCAGATCGCAATTTTTCGGGCTAAACGAATCGCGTGATTCTACCCGGGGATCCGTGCGATCAAGGGTAATCGCGATGGATTTCGTGCAAGACGTGTAGTATAACCACCGTAGTATAACTTTACGGTGGGTCGGACAGTTGCCAGCTTTAATTGTAGTTTCGCGCGTATAGAAATAATGTAGATAATGACTTACCAGTGGTCGTCCACCGTGCGATTGCTATCTGTACCCCTGGATGGCGCTCTCGTGGCTTACATGGATCGGCACCTCCTGGACCTCTAGATGCTGCCGACTCTGGAGAAGGAACTCGTTCTGGATCGCGCGGCGACGAGTTCGAATATTCGAATCACTGTAATTGACCGTTGGGCACTAGGGAGGAACACCGCACGTCACGGTTTCGCTTAGACGTAGGAGGAAATGTGCCGTGTAAGGATGTTCGAATGGGAGGGAGTAGAAATAGAATTATTACAGATAATATATATATATATATATATATATATATATATATATATATATATATATATATATATATATATATATATACATACATACATATATG